CTTTTACTTTTCGATTAAGTGCACTTAAAGCTTCTCAATATCTTTTCTGTACCTCTTTCTTTTTGAATATTCTTTTTTCCCATTCTTTGATTTCTAATAAATTATGCTTTACTTCTTCGAGTTTTTGTACTATCTCTGATGTTAGTTTTAAAAAAAGTCCTTTGCAAATCCAGCATTCTATCACCTTATTGTATGCTTTAAGATCTCCTAGTATTATTATCATTTCTGCAGACGCAGATAAGTCCTCCTATATGTTTGTCAGCTCCTTCTCGATTTTTGTAACGAATCTTTCAAGTGCATCTAGACCTCTATATAAATCATGACTTATGATTTCATAGTAGAGTAAACTATCCATATGAACAACTACATAGCAATAGCCACATGGCTTATACATCTGTAATCTTTCAGTATAAATTAATTTCATCTTCTCTTTGGGGGTTAACTTTTTGGTTAACAATTTCTAGATCCCAGAAAATGCGATATGGATTTGGTTGCATACATTTATAGTTATAAAAAGCTTTGATACTTTTATTCTTTACTGGCATTTGCGATCGCTGAGAAGCATTATTTAGATCCTTGCATTTTGACAAATGTTCATTGTATCTTATCTCTGAAGAGTATATATAAAGATAATAACAGTATAGATATTTTCGTCCTTTATGCTTGCTATGATTGTATACCAGCTTATGTAAATCTTTGATAATACAGTAGTGACTTCTTTCTTCTTTTGTAATTACTAAAAGATTTCATCTCCTCTTCTTTCTGAAACATAGCGAAATTCAAAATACTCATTCTGGTTGTACCATTCATAGACATATAGATTAATTTCAGGGTTATTTTCTTCAAACTTTTTACAAACTGGTATTGAGATTGGTATTGAAATTAGGATGTCTTCTATATTAAGTTCCTCTACGAAATCTCTATATAGCTGATGCAGATTTCTCTCTAGATAAACTTTTACAAGATGCAAAACTCCTAGAATACTCCATTTGAAACACCAGTTATCATTATTTTAAATATTAATAATTCTATTATTACGTTTCAATAAAGTTTCTGGTAAAGGTATATAAGCGGTAAGACTAATCAGATTGAAATCAGCTATTTCTATACTAAATTCTTCTATATATTCTGGGTAAGCATTAGACATTTGGTATATTAGTTAGCTCTAACTATCGCGTTATTACTTGCTTATATAATTTTTTCTTTAATTAATTATTTTCTATTCCTTTCACTTTTTAATTACTGAAGACGATGCTTGCAAACTTTTCAAAACGATTCTAGCTATCTTTCTGAAACTGAAGCATTAACTATTTATTAATTATTCTTTCAATATTTAGTGATATAAAATAGGATGATCAGTGAATATTTCTGCCCATTTCTTTGTAATATTGAAAAGGTTTGTGGGAGAGCTTCTACTAAGCCTGCTAGATGCTGATTTCATTAGAAATCAAAAAAACGGTTACCATGTTCTGATTGTAATAAGCCAACTGCTTCTGCTTGTGACTGATGCTCAGATCATGTCAAAGGCTATTATATTATTCAGTTTTATGACAGGCTTCGATCAGAAAGTCTTCGATTAGAGATACAAGAAAGGCTTTAATTTGAGATACGTAAAAGACTTCGATTTGAGACACGAAAAAAAACTTATGAGGAAATTATACTTGCCTATAGTAATGCGTTTGCAAATCTTAATATTTCTCTTTGTAAGGAATGTCTCTATCTGATAAAACTAAAAGAGGGAGAATATTGTGATGATATCGGTCAAAATAAATGGAAAGATTATTTTAGCTAACTTTTTATCTAAATTTTGCTAAAATTTAGGGTGCAATATTTAATGGACATTTGCAACCCCTTGTTCATAAAACTTTAGGGTAGTAATGAGGATATAGTTTTTGCTTATTCCTCCCACTGTTCTTGAACAATTCCATGGATTTTATAGAAAGATATTGGTTTTTTCGTTAGATTTAATAAATTTCTCAACAGGATAAAATCGTTAGACTTAAATGAATAATGTATTAGATAAGGAGTTAGCTAACGCAAAGCTAATTCCTGATATATATTTTTTGTTAGACTTATAAAATTTCTGGCAGGACAGAATAGTTAGACTTAAATTTTTTCGTTAAGTTTTATGCTATTTGATGAGCTAGCCTATGCTGAGCCAGTTCTTAACTAAGGAAAAGTTGAAACAATTCTGCGGATTTTGCAAGGGTGACATTTTGTTAGACTTTTTATAAAAAATATGCTTTTTAGTAAGCTAACCTGTATTAAACCTATTCTTGATTAAGGAAAAGTTAGGATAAAAATCCCGTTAGACTTATTTTTTCATTAGATTTATCTTACAGAATGGTATAATCTGAGGGAAATTGAGATAGTTAGACTTATTTTTTCATTAGAGTTAGGTGAATATTATATTATTTTATTAAGCTAATCCATACAAAACCACTTCTAGATAAATCATTTTTCGTTAGATTTATGATGATGGAATTGAGACCATTAGACTTATTTTATTATTTTTCGTTAGACTTAAGAAAATCGTTAGATTTATTTATAGGGTAATAAGAACCGTTAGACTTATTTTTATTAGACTTAATTTTTTTGTTAAACTTATTTATGAGGTAATAAAGACCGTTAGACTTATTTTCATTAGATTTAAGTAGTTAATATATTATTTAAAAAGCTAACTCACACAGAATCAATTCCTGATATAATAATTTTCATTAGATTTAATAAATATAACTGAAAAATTGATATAGAAATTAAGATTCTAGAGCTGTTAGAAGCTTCTCTAATATACTAATAAAAATCAATATGCTTTCTGAGAATGGAGAACACATACAGAGTTTTAAAATATAATATCAAAATTAAGATTCTAAAGCTGATAGAAGCTCTTCTAATATAATTAAAAATCAATATTATTTTTAATGTTCTGTGGCTCACACACATAATGTTTCAGTAGAAGGCAGACCTTTAGTCTTTAAACCTCCACTTTCACATTGTATGAAGTCTAAATTATTAATATTTATAATAACATATGATTTATATATAAAATGTTCAAAATGTTGACTCAAAGCTAACTTTTATGTTATTTAAAATTTTATTGTAATACTTTTATATTATATTCTACATAACCTAAAATATCAAATATTATGGTTGGCATAGTTTGGTTATGCATTTATGACTTTGCCTAAATTTTAAAAGTCTAAAAAATTCATTTATTATGTAATTTACTTAAATATTTATTTCAGCCCTAAGCTAACTTATTTATAATGCCTAATCTTTGATTTACTATTTTATAATCACATTTACATGATTTAAAATATTGAATTTATTGATTTGTAGAATTCGCCTGTATTGCACAAATCTTTTAATTTAGGATCGGCTGATTTTATATAATGTGATAATTCATTTATATATGATTGACAAATGATCGACAAGGTGATATAAGCAAGCCCGCTATGCTTTTGTCACCTATATCACATCTCAGCACTTTTTAGTTTTTCTAAGCATTATTTTGAATTTTTTTCAGTGACAAATTCCTATTTGTCAGGCCCCTTATTCGTCTTCTTATGCCGTAATGCCGGCAAAGACTACTCTGTTTTAGACGGGCCCTAAATTTAGTAATAACTGACTTTTGGGGATGCGATGACGACTGATGCGATGTTGCTCATGTGATAGCCTGATTAAGAACTGTATAAATAGTCTCGTTTTGTTTACTTTGATCTCCAGCGAAGTTTTGCTTGGTTCTTCGTTAAGTTAGTTATATTTTTGCCTTTATTATGGTAAAAACCTTTGCACTTCTTTACTTGCGAGCATAAGCCGGAGGAAGGGTGATGACGTTGTATTGATATTATAGACACCGAGCCTCTCCGAGTCTGAAACTTTCCTTAAAGAGTTAATCCTTCTCTTTTTGTACAGTCCGAAAAAGGATAGAGGCGTCTTCGATTTCTTTCGAGTTTTTCTTACTATGAATGAAAAGCAGGGCGTCTCGTTTAGTTTTTTACCCAATCAATTATGGTACAGGATTTCTAGTATTTCTAGTTTTTCTGGTTGGTTCGATTCCAACATTGATTCTTACATTTATGACACGAACTGTCTTCGCTTTACGTAAAAGGTACCAATATGAGTCTCCTTTATTCGGGTTACCGATATTATTATGAAACTTTTACTAAATTATCGATGAAAATATGGCGAAAATTTTTATTATTATTTTTTTTTTTTTTTGATTTATTAAATGGACATTCTCCACTTTTTTTTTATGTATTGCAACGAAACGAGGTAACAAAACAAGATTTTAATTTTAGAATAATTTAGAACAATAAATATGACAAGCGATATCTTCTTGATTTACGTTCAATTTCACACTAAAATGACAAGAACAAACGAATTATAGTAGAAGGAAATCAAACTAATCAAAGACTTCGCTTTGCTTAAATAGGAACTATCATTGATCTCGTTCGATATATAGTTATTAGGTAAATCAAATGTAATCAACAATCAGAATGTAGAAAAATATCTTTAAATTAAATTTTGCCTTTATCTATCATTGCTCGTAAAGATATCGCAAAAAAACTAGTAAGGATAAAATGAGACTGACATAATATTCTTAGCTGGTCTTAAACGTAATATGATTGGCTTGATGACGAGTTTAAATACGAGGGCTTGGTTCATCGATTATTTTTCCTCTCGATCTTGTTAAGAATAATTCAACAAATTCTTCTGTGAATAATGATTCACAAACGGTTGTGAGTGATGATTATACACGTTCAGAAGCTCTTTCGGGCTATCAATCATATGGTATGTGATTGCATTCGCATTTTATTCAAAATCAAAATCATTAATTTAACCTTTTGCATTCCCATAGAATCTCTGGTAACAGAATACGCCTCTGCATTTGAAGAAGATGATGATGAAACGGATCTTACACAAGAGGAGTGCTGGGAAGTTGTCATCATTTTTCAAAAATAAAGGAATTGTATGACAACAGTCGGATTCTTTTGATGACTTTATTGAGCGTGGTCTAGTTGAAGTTATGAACGAAACCCCAATGCAAGCGATAAGATATTCTTATTTTGAAGATGGGCAAGAAATAATGGTTTGATTTCTCTATTTTTGTTGTTTTTGTATGGAATACATTATATACATTTTTTTTTTAAAAAATATATATATATATATATATATACAAAATTAGACTCGATACCGTTTCGAGTTTGATAAGCCATCATTTACTAAACCTCAATTTCCGAGCCTGAGGGTATTAAAAAGCAACTGCTCCCGTATGAAGCTCGCTTAAGGGGTTTAACGTAATTTAATTTAAATCGAATTCCATAATATTATGTATACACGACTCATCAATTTTTTTTCTTTTTCTTGTATAGGTAGGTACTCATCCCGTTATTTTTAAATATGAAAATTTTATATCAAAGCTAATCATAAACAGTTTGATGAAATCGATTACAACGAAAATGATTTCAAAGGAAATGAGAAGATTGTGGTTGATGAACCGGTATTTTTTGGAAAGGTAACTTTGTTTCAAAATTAATAATTTATTATGACGATAATATGATATAAATTTTCTTATTTAAAAAATAGATTCCTGTTATGGTACATTCTAAATTTTGCTCAACTGAAAGAACGTCATGAATGTCCATATGATCAGGTATAATAAATTTAACCTTTTTTTAACACATAATATCCTCATGCTAACTAATTTTACTTCATTTTATGGTGGTTACTTTATCATTAACGGTTCCGAAAAATAATAAAATAAGTCTAATGGTCTCAATTCCATCATCATAAATCTAACGAAAAATGATTTATCTAGAAGTG